AGCACGGGGAGGGGGGGGGGGCGCACGACAACGAGGGGGAGGGGGCGGAGTATCGATGGGGTCGGGGGAAGGTGCAACTGCCAAGGTGGTGCCCAGACACCCCTGGGCCATGATCACGACGGGACGTTTTCGCTATCTTCGGCCTCCCCGGACCGTCAAACAACGATTCAGAATGAAAAGCCCGTGCTGGGAACTGTCCGGGAAAAGGGGGTCCCGACCTCTTGGGGGTCCACGTCGTGAAGGGGTCGTGGCGTCGAGGCTCTGGGTAAGTCGTAAAAGCTGTGCCGGCGAAGCAGGGTGGCACGGTCTTGCGATGCATCGGGCCTCCGCCGGGCTGCTGCTCTGCGCTGGGCCGGGAGGCTGGCGGCGAAGGCGGCGCGACGTCTCTCCTTCTTTCGGGGGCGCGGAGTGGCGGTCGTCTGGGTGCCCTCCCGGGGCCACTTCGCTGCAGCCCCCCTTCGGGCGGGCCCCTTCTGAGGATGGATGGGTCGGTTTTCCACCACCACTACCACAGGTAGAAGGGGGAGAAGGGAGGAGGGGGAGGAGGTTCCCCTCCACCTCCTCCTCCTCCTCCTCCTCCTCCTCCTCCTCCTCCTCCTCCTCCTCCTCCTCCCCCTTCTTCTCGCGCCAAGCGCCAATACAGTCTTGCATCGACTGATACATATATATATATATATATATATGTTCGTATGGATAGCTGTTGTATGTCTTGATTGTATTTGGTTTCTCTAGCTCGCCCTCCCTCTTTCTATATCCATGTATGTTCTCTCACTCTCTCTATAGTTATATAGATATGTGTATCTCTACCTATCCTTATATATATATATATATGTGTGTATGTGTGCGTCCCTCTATATGTCCCTCACTCCTTCTCTCTTTCTACGTGTGTATATATATATATGGATATACGTATCCCTCTTTCTCTTTCTTTCTTTCTCTCTCTCTCTCTCTCGAGTTACAGCTCCCCCTCTCTCTCGATGTTCCTTCTCGGTATTCCTATCATCTGGGACCCTGCGGACCCCCCCCCCCCCCGGAAACGCGATCCCCGGCGGCGTCCGGGGCTCCTGGACGCCTCCTCAGAGGGTCCGCGAGATTTCCGGGCTTCTGAAAGTCACGGCCAAGCGGTGCAACCGTGTCGGCGGTGGTCCTAAGAGACCTCCAAGACGGTCAAAGATGGCATCCAGCGGCATTGGACCCTGGACCCTTGCAAGACTCCCCAAGACAGTTCACTTGTAACCCCGAAGAGGCTTCAGAAACGCAGTAAAGTTTCACTTTACGTTTTTTTAGATTTGATTCTGGGCTATTCAGTTATTCGTTTATCCCGGCGTCCGAGAACGCCCGAGACGCACAGAAAATAGCACCAAGACTTCCAAAACAGGCTTCCTGATAGCTCAATAGAGCCTCAAGACGGCCCACAGAGGGATCAGAAGCTGCCCACAGAGGGCTCCATGCCTGGCCAAGCTTGCCCCAAGACGTCCTCCGTCATCATTCAAACTGTGACCCGAAACCACTGTTCGCGGCATGTTGGCCCGAGAACCGTCCCAGAAGTTGCCAAAACGTGCCAAGGACGTCTCCAGAGGCGCCCGAGGAGCCCCGAAAAGCTTTCGCGAGGTCTTCCAGAAGCTCGTCTTGGAGGAGCCTCCGCAAACAAATCTGAGGAGGACGGGAAGGGGTTCGCGGGGTAATTAAGGCGAGAATGAGGAAGATGGTGAGGAAGAGGACACATGAGGGAAGGAGAAGGAACAACAAAATGAGAACGGCGATGGCGAACGCTGCAGCCAGAAGCTGTTCTAATTTAATGTATATACGTCTCTCTCCTTACGCCTGTAGTTAGACGTGAAGGAACAAGGTGCATGGCGCGAAGCGCCAATGAAGTCATGTATACATATATATAGGCAGACATACATACATGTGTGTATGTATGTATGTATGTATGTATGTATATATATATACATGTATATATACATATGCATATATATATATATATAGATATCAGTCTCAGCGGCTTAGCCTGTTCCCTGCGTGCGCACCACTCTAGGTGATTTGCCCCCCTTGCGGCTACTCTTTGGCCAACGGCTTCGGGAATTAGACACCACGACCCTCCCGATCAACTCTTGAGAGCGGCCGCCGCCGGGGTGTGCCCGCGACGCTCTGGACGGCTCCGACGTGGATCTGGAGGCACTCGAGAAAAAGCCGAGCGTTGCCAGTGGCACAGGCATCGAGTGCCACCTCATCCTGCGCGGGGGCTGATCCTCCTCCCTCCTCCTCCTCCCTCCTCCCTCCTCCTCCTCCTCCCTCCTCCTCCCTCCTCCCTCCTCCCTCCTCCTCCACCCTCCTCCCTCCTCTTCCTCCTCCTCCCTCTTCCTCCTCCTCCTCCTGGACCCCGACTCCGATGGCGCGTCGCCATGGGCACAGGCGTGTGCTCGAGGCCCTCTGCCCAGCGTCGCCCAGCCGGTCGTGGGCCACCGCGCCTCGGTGCGACGCGCTGCCTGCGCCCCGCGCCTCGGCGCGACGCGCCGAGAGCGTCCCGCGCCTCGGCGCGACGCACCGAGCCGTGGACTGCCGGTCCCCAGGCGACGACGCCCCGAGCCCTCCTGGGCCGCACGCCCCGCGGGCACGGCGTGTCCCCGGGGGCAGCCGCCGCCGGGTCGTACGCCCCCAGCTCCTCGACGCGCCGAAAGCGTCCCACGCCTCGGCGCGACGCACGAGCCGCGAACCCGCCCCCAAGCTTCGACGTCCCGGGCCTTCCTAGGTCTCACGCCCCGCGGGCGCGGCGTGTCCCCGGGGGCAGCCGCCGCCGGGTCGTATGCCCCCAGCTCCTCCTCGTGGCCGCCCGCATCGGCCGGGGTCGGCTGTGTTCGCCCGCGCCGTTGGGATGGAGAAGTGGAGGCGTCCAATCAGGCCCACTTCTTCCAGCACGCCTTCGGCAGTGGAGCGGGCACGTTGCTGTGTAGATTCGGTGGTGCGCACCTATTTATATCATATCGTGTACACGTGTGTATACATAGTCATAGACATGTATACATATGGACACACACCTGCGTGCCGAACGCGAACACATTCCTTTCCGTGACCTCGGATGCGATCCCATGGATGCGCGATTCCATGGATGCGCGATCCCATGGATGCGCGATCCCATTGGCGCGATCGGCTGGTAGGGATATGCGTTTCTCCAACGGAACACTGCTTGCCCGCGAGTCCACGCGGAGCGCAGGCGGATGGGGGAGAAGAAAGTGACGCGGAGGAGGAAGATGCTAACAACATGTACGGCAATATTTCCAGCTTCTGTTTGTACCATCTTACATCGTTCCAGCGAGGGAGGGGCGTGAAGAACAGCAGCGGGTGGAGGATCGCGATGAGGCTGAGAAGAAGGAGGAGGAGAAGGACAAGGAGAGGAGGAGGTGGAGGAGGAGGAGGAGGAGGAGGAGGACGACGAGAAAGAGGAGGAGGAGGAGGAGGAGGAGGAGGAGGAGGAGGAGGAGAAGCACAAGGGAGGAGGAGGAGGAGGGCGAGAATGTGGGGGAGAAGGAGAAGGAGGCCGAGGAGGACAAGGAGGAGGAGGAGGAGGAGGAGGAGGAGGAGGAGGAGGAGGAGCTGCAGCAAGCAGAGGAGAGGCGCGACGTTGGAGCGGAGCGGCAGGGCTCCTTGTGCGGCGCCCTGTCGCCCGCAGGGGCGGCGCCGGTTGCGCTGTCGGCGACGTCTGTGTGTTGCGCCCCTCCCTTTGGACGCCCGAGTTATCCGGGGTAACTCGGGTCCGGGGTAACTCGGGTTCGGAATCCCGAAAAACGAACCCGAGTTAGCCCTGACCCGAGTTACCCCTGATGATTCGGGGCTCTGATCCCTTGTGTTAAGTCGGGCATTTCGCTCTACAGGAGGAGTAGTCAACAATAGTCAGACCAATGTCTGGGAATGTTTGTTTGGCTATGTTTGAATCTGGTGGAATCTCCTGCGGCTCTTTTCCCTTCTCCTTCCTCGCCTGTAGGAGGACATGCCCGACCTTACCCTGGTGCGCTCGGGCTGCTTCGCTCGGCGCGGAGCGGTCCGAACCGGTGGTGCCGCGCCTGTCCCGCATCCGGGGATGGACAAACCTCCCTTTAGTAAAACGTGGTTTAGTGGAAACGACCTCGGGCCCAAACCTGGCGGGCGCAAGCCTGGAAAACAACGGCCGCGGCGCCCTCTCGAGAACCGAAAACGGACAATTCACTAATCGACGTGTCACTGTTGGGGGTTCTGTCCACCCCCGACGCATCCTGGAGGGCGAGGGCAGGCCTCACCCTGGCTTGGCCGCATCTTCCTGCTGCACGTCTCCAAGATCATCGAGGTGGCCGCCAGGAAGAAGAGGCCCCGGGCCTCCAACCTTCTCCCCTCCCCTGTTCCGCACCCCTCTCCTCTCCTTCTTTCGGTCCTCCTCCGCCCCCTCTTCTTTTCTGCTCGGTGGGCTTCGAGGGAGGAGGGGAGGGAAGGGCGGCCACGGACGAGGCAACGGACGAGGAAGAGGCGGAAGGGGACAGGTGGGGAGCAGAGGGGGGCCACACACGCATCTCGCGGGTACACAGATTTAGATTTGCGTTCATGCTGCTGCTGTCTACTGCCCCGCCTGGCAGGGCGGACAAATCCTGCCCCCCTCGACAGCACGAGGGCGGAAACCGTGACAGCACAGATTCTGGACGATATATTGCTGTTGCGAACCAGCATTCCTGCTGCGTCCTGACAATTCTGCATCTTGCTCAAACACCACTTCTGAGATTGCAACACTCCGCATCAACGTGACGGTTGCGCCCTCGCAACCCTAAATCGTTCCAGAGCATTGTTTCTAGGACGTCAACCACAAGAAGCCATTTAATTGAAGTAAGTTTGTAAGGCGAAGTTGCGCGGCGCTGGGGCGCGAGCCACATTTTGAAAAGGAGCCCTGCATCCGTAAAACGCTTGCACACTTTTGCGACGACGGCGCGCGGCGCTGAGGCGAGAAGCGCGTGTTTGAAAAGGCTTCAGCGTCAGAGTCCTTAGTGGTGAGAGAGTCTCGGGCGGAACGCCCGGCCAGCCCAGACGACGCGTCTCGGGGTGGGACGGGGCGGAGCCATGCGTAAGGAGCAGGAGTTGGAGGGGCGGGGTTCCGTGGCCGCAGATAGAGAGGCAGCGAGACTCGGCGCCACGCGGCGAGACCGGCTCCTCGGGGTCCAGGCAAGAGCCCCCTTCGACTAGACGTGAGAGTGACCTTCCGCCGGAGTGACCTCTGGCGTGGGCCCAACGGGGTCCCCCGATCGCCGGAGGCGAGGCGGCAGTGGCGTCTTGCGCGCTCGGGTGTGGCCCTCCCGCGGCCTCCGAGAAGCCGCGCGCCAAAGGTCCCTCGCACCCCGGGGTCACTCTCGCGTGCAGCCGACCCCCGTGTGCGGGCCGCCGCCTCGGGCAGATCTCCGGCAGCCCGGGGCGGCTGCCCTCTCCGGCTAGGGCCCAGGGGCCGAGCTGGGCCGCCTTCGTCGCGGGCGAGGCCCCCGCAGCCTCGAGGTCGGATGGGGCGTGGGCGAGCCCGCGACGGTGGTGCAGAGCCGCCCAAGCCCTGGCCCGCCTACGCGCCAATAGGCAGCGCGGTGCCAGAAGGCTCCTCCGGCCGACGGAGGCTGCTCCGCATCTGCCAGCAGCCGCTGCGCGACGCCCAGGGCGCGCAGTCGGCTGTCCCGCCCAGCGAGCAGGGCGGGCGGCGTAAGCCGCGCGCGCGCGGCTGCGCCGGGTAGCCGTTCAGCGGCCGCGTTGCCGAGGCGGTCCTCCTCAGCCATGCCCTGGGCCCTGGCGCTGGCCGCGTCGAGGTGCCCTTTGATCCATCTGTCACTGCTGCTGCCGATGCTTCTCCGGGCCCTGGCAATGCGCCAAGAAGGGCAGGGACAAGGACAACGTCCCCTCGCCCGCTGCTGACCCCCGGGCGGCTGCTGAGGCTCTGTGGGCCGCTGCGGCTTTTGGAGGCGGTGTGACGAGCAAGGTCCATGCCGCGGCAAGGGTACAGGCATGGGCAGTGGCATGGTGATGCCTGGCCCTCCAAGCGCGCATGACGAGGGCAAACTCAAGTCCCCAAGGGAGATGCCGGTGCTGTTGCACTGGAGCGGCCTGCGCTGCCCAGCCCCCAGGGCGAAGATGTGTTGTTGTGCCCGGCGCAATCCGCCCCCACCCGATGTTCCTCCCGAGCTCTCCTCCCGAGCCTGCTGCGGGCAGGCCTGGCGTGCGCAGCCTTGTCCTGGTCTGTCCTGCACATTCGCACGCGCGGCCAGGCTGCTCCCCGGCTAATCTTCGGAGGCCTGGTCGTCCAGGCAGGCCAGCCGTCGCGAGCCACTCGCTTGCACGGCCGTCGCGGGACAGGCGTTGCGTGTGCAGGCGCGGGCCAAGTGGGCACCCGCGCCTGCGACGTGCATGGCAGTGCGCCTCCTTATCGATCGGGCGATCGCCGGCTCTCAGCGTGCTGGTCGCTCTGGCCGCTCTGCATCTCGGGCCCCGTCCTGTTTCTCCTGCCTCCCGCCTACTCTTAGGTGCCAACTCGCCGATCGGGAGTAGGGGAGCGCACCTTACGCGAGTTCAAACCACATCTCCCCTCCTCTCCTCCCTGTCCCTCCTGCATCCTTCCTCCTCCTGGCGCTCCCGTCCCTCCTCCTCATCCCTTCCTCCTCCTCCTCGCGCTCGCCGCACTGTTCGATCTGATAATTCCAGACGGGCTTTGGGGTAATCTTGAGATGCGTGGTTGGCTGGAGCGCTCCGCGTCCCCCTCTCTCACTTGAAAAGACAAGTTGTTTTTGTCCCCAGACAGCCCATGCCTTGATTGTTTCGATGCCGGATCTCCAGGGGTCCTGACTTTTCCTCCAGGCTCGGTTTTTCATCCCGAGCAGTCCTTGGACGGCTCTGAGGCCCCGCGGCGGCCCCCGGAGGCCGAACGTCGAGGACAGACTGTCCTCGACAAAAAAACAGCACGGCAGGCAGCTGTCGTGGACAGCTGTCCGCCGTGCTTTCTTGCTGTCTTCTCCTCTGCCGAGAAAAGCATCGGGGAGGGGCAGGCTCTCGATCGACGACTGCTGGCGGCACGGCGAGAAGCCTCACGAGGCCCTGAGGGCGTTCGACGCCGCCTACGAGGCGTCCCGCCTGCCCACGCCTGCGCCTCGCCCCCATCGCTCCTTGAGGGGGCAGGGGGGCCACCTCCACATCCTGCTCCTCGACCTTGTCCTCCTCCTCCTCCTCCTCCTCCTCCTTCATCTCCTCCTCCTCCTCCTCCTCCTCCTCCCGGAGGCCAGGTTCTCTTGGCCAAGATGGTTTCAAGGATGTCCTCCTCCCTGAGGCCAGGTTGCCCTGGCACGCAGGGCGTCGCGAGCCACTCGCAGGTTCTGTGGTCGCGGGAAAGATCCTCCTCCTCCTCCTCCTCCCCCTCCTCCGTAGCCATTTTGGCTCAAGGCGATGAACCGTCCCGACGACCGCGAGTCCCCTGGGGCGAATTCTGAGCGCGAGGGAGGTTCCGCTTTGAGGCCAGCTGACCTTCCAAGGACTGTGCCCCCTCGCCCGCGCTCTGATTTCGACTATATTGTTGTAAACTCCTGGTGGAGCAACGCTGCCACTCTTCGCCCCTGCACGCCGTGCCAGAGTCTGCGAGGAAGGCGAATAGGGATGAGGACCGCCGCCGTCGGCGCCGCGATGATGATGATGCTGCTTCTTCTCGTTCCGATGGCTCGGACGGATATGACAAGCCCAGCCGCGAGCGGTCTGAGCGCGGGGTGGACGTCGACGCGATCGGGCACCAGCAGCAGCACGGCGACCAGCAGAGCCACACTCACCAGCACGGCGACCAGCAGCAGCAGCAGCAGCAGCAGCAGCAGCACCACCACCACCATCACCACCACCAACACTACGGCGACCAGGAGCAGCACGGCGACCAGCAGCACCACGACAACCACTACAACTACAGCGACAACAGCAAGCAGCAGCAGCAGCAGCAGCAACAGCAGCAGCACCACCACCACCACAACCACTACGACTACGATCAGCAACGCCCCCACCACCAGCACGGCGACCAGCACCACCACCACCACGACGGCGACCAGGGGCAGCACGGCGACCAGCAGCACCACGACAACCACTACAACTACAGCGACAACAACAAGCAGCAGCAGCAGCACCACCACCACCACCGCAACCGCTACGACTACGACCAGCAACGCTACCACCACCAGCACGGCGACCAGAGCCACCACCACCACCACCACCATGACGGCGACCAGGGGCAGCACGGCGACCAGCAGAACCACGACAACCACTACCACTACAGCGACAACAAGCAGCAGCACCCGCATCTGCAGCAGCAGCAGCAACAGCAGCAGCAGCAACAGCAGCAGAACCACCACCACCACCACCACCTCTACGACTACAACCGGCAGCGCCACCACCACCAGCACGGAGACCACTACCACCACCACCACGACGGCGACCAGGGGCAGCACAGCGACCAGCAGCACCACGACAACCACTTACCACAACTGCGACAACAAGCAGCAGCAGCAGCAGCAGCAGCAGCAGCAGCAGCAGCAGCAGCAGCAGCACCACCACAACCACTGCGACTACGACCAGCAGCGCCACACCCACCAGCACGGCGACCAGCAGCAGCACCACCACCACCACCACCACCACGGCGGCCAGGAGCAGCACGGCGGGGCCCGCGCGGACGCCGGCGCGGCAGGGGGCGACGGCGGCCGGCGGCGGCTGGCGGCGGCGGGCCGCCGGCAGCGGCTGGGCCCGCGACGGAGGCCGCGGAGGCCGGGGAGGCGGAGGAGGAGGCGGGCGCTGGGGCGAGGAGGCGGAGGGCGGCAGCGCGGGGGCCCCGCTGCCCTTTCGCTAGGAGGGGCTCGGGGAGGCACGCCAGAGCGGGCCCCGAGTGAGGGTGGGGCTGGAACGCCCGCGACTCTCGGGGGTGGGGCCGGCCGGCGGGGCGGGCGGGGGCGGCGGCGGCGGCGGGGGGCGGCGGGCCGGAGGCCTAGGCCGACGGCGGCGGGCGGCGGGCCATTGCAGGGGCCCCGCGCGGCGGCCTCGGCTTGGCGTGAGCCCGCGCAAGGAGAAGAAAAATAAAGAAAAACAAATCGGGCTGCTCGTAGCGCTTCGGACGGAGCCCGCGCGAGGAATGAGCGTGACGTTCGGGAGGATGCGCGGCCGCCTCGCGGACCGATGGACTCCCCGAACCAGAGGCTGGCGGCGGCGGTCTCAGAGATGGAGAGTGATGGCTTCCAGCTCGCGCAGGTTCCCACCTTCCCGACGTTTCAGTCCCGTGGATCCTCTCACGAGCCATGGGCTTCGGCTGCTGCTGCTGCTGGCCGTCACGTTCCTGCGGCGCCATCCACTCCTGTGGCGGGAACGGCCACAGGAGTGGATGGACTTCCATTGGCTCCTCAAGGGGTGGTGGGCGGTCCTGAGTGGGCGTCATATGTCTCGCAGGTCGTCGCCACGCAGTTGCAGGCGCACACTGCGAACATCACGGCGCAGGTTCAGAATGCGGCGGTTGCCACCATGCAGCAGGCCCAGGGCACGATCATCTCGCAGTTGCAGGCCCACTTCGCCCCGACGACGCAGCGGGTCGAGGGCCACGAGCTGGCCATCGGCGACATTCAGAGGAAGCAGAAAGGCATGGAGGACGTCCAGAAGGTGCTGCAGGAAGACATCAAGCGTACCACCCGTCTGTGGACATCGCTCGCCTTGCGGAATTCGACAGGGGCCCTCACCCCACGATCTTTACAATCAATGCTCCCGATGATGTGCCACCTGCTGAAGTTCGTGGTGCAATTGGGTCGTGGATTAGCGACGCCAATCTGGAGATGGAAGACACGGCGTTGCACGGCCGAGGCCCCAGTCGTCGCTGCACACTGGAGGTTAAGGGTGGAGCCGCCGGTGTATCCAAGGCAATCGCCCTCGCCAAGGCGCTCCGCTACCCCTCGGGCGAGTGGAGGAGGTTCACGGCGAAGCAGCTATCTGGTGCTACTGGTCCTCGGTTCATTGGTCCCGACAAAGCCCCGAAGCAGATCAGACGTGAGCAGCAGTCCAAGCGCCTGGCAACTATTGCACAGGAGAGGATGCCCGACTACCGCTGGTGGGCTGTCAGAGCCAGAGGTCTGGCCCAAATCGAGGGCCAGCCATTGGTCGAGGTCGTCGTCAGAGGTGCCAATGAGCCGTCAAGGCTTGCATGGAACCAAGTCGTCGTCGCGCGGTGCAACGTGGACGTCGCCGCCATTTCTGCAGCTTTCCACCGTGCCTTCGCCACGGTGGACACCAGCTCCTGGTCGTGGTCCTGACCAATGGGCTCAGCCTTGGCGCATTGCTGCCCTCGAGAAGGGCTCTCATCGCGAGGTTCGGATAGTTTCATGGAATGCCAGAGGTCTGTGCTGTCTAAGTCGCAGGTCACTATGTCGTGCCAAGATGCGGCGGCTTGAAGGATTTCTTCGCATGCGAGAAAGGATGCGCGGCAATTTTGATCCCGTGGTACAAGGAAACAGAGATCCAGGAGCTACCCTCTGACTCGATCCCGACTTTCAAGATGACCGCCAGACTTCCAGAATGTCCATAACTTCGATCTCGGTGTATCTGACCGCCTGGCAGTGCGCACTCTATGGCGACGAGCTGCGACCTGGGCTCATCAGGATGAACGCCATCGCTGCTTCATTGCGCCGGGGGGCTTCAATGTTGCAGATGTTGCGCCTGATTCTCTGCTGAGGCCCTTTGCGAGACGTGATGTGAAGGTTTGGGCCAACACCGCCAACCGTTCTGGAGAGCACTCTTCGACTTCCGCATGGTGGAAGTGGTATCCAATCTCCCGGCCCACTTCTGCAAGCATACGCAGTCCTGCTCTACTATTGATAGGGCCTCTATGTCCGTCGCCCCCGCCTTCATTCTCGAAACAGAGGTTTCGCCTTCGGTGCAACAAGAAGCAGCAAGTCTTTCGGACTGGTCTGTGAGTGACCATGCTCTTCTCCTCCTCCAACTTCGACCGCGTGTGGGGGGGCGGCCCGCAGAGCGTGCGATCCCTGACTATGTCTTTCGGGTGCCCGAAGATAAGGTGGAGCTCAACAAATACATGGACAACATGGACTGGGCGGGCTGCTCGGTCGCAGAGCGCTGGGCCATCACCAAGGAGATCATGATCAGAGCGGCGTCCCGAGTCCGAAATATGCTCCAGCAGCTACCACTGGATGCCTCCCGTGATGGCGCTGAACACGCAAGAGAATTACGCTTCGCAGCATTGCTCGTGCCATCTGGCAGCAAGATGTTCACCTCGCCTCGCAGCTTCGACAGAATCCCTCATACGGACGGCGTTTCCTCTTTGTGGAAGATGAGGTGGTTTCCTTATTGAACGCGAGTGAGTTTTCTGAGACCTTCATCCGCACGAATGCTGAGTGGCACGGGCGGCTTCAACGACACGCTGCTGCGCAAGTACAACGTGGAGAGCGCCATCGACAGGAGCTCGCTGAGTTATCACGAGAACATTGGTGCAAGATCCAGAGGACGTCGGCAAGAATGGCTCGTCTGTGGAACGACTCGCGCCGGCAGCTAATTCTGAACGGGATGCGTCACAATGGGCATGGTCATTCCTCGATGCCTACGGCGGTTGCGGATATCCAATGTGGGTCTCTTGGCGCCGTGCTGCCTCCAACGCGTGGGGCGACAGGTTCCGCGCGGCCAGAGGCTGGGCGAGCGTGCTCTTCTCCCGCGGCACCAGTTGTTTCTGTTGCGTCTCATCAAGTCACTGCATCGGACTCACCTGGTGGTCGGGCCACTGCCGCTGGCAGAGGCGGCCTTAATGACGACCGAGCCGCGCCTCGTGAGTGCCCGATCCCAGTGACCGCTGATGTGGCGCGCGGGTGGAGTCATCAAGTCGCTGCATCGGACTCGCTTGGCGGTCGGACCTTGCCGCGCGGCAATGGCGACCTTGATGATGGGCCCTCCCCTGGGATCGCGCCTCGCGAGCCTACGGTTTCAGCGATCGCTCTTGCATTACTACGTCTTCGTTGTCGGCCTCGGCGTCCTCCTGTTCGCTTCTCAGTGGATTCTTATCTGAGCCTGACAACGGCATGCCACCGCCCCGCAAGCTGCCCGAGCTGCCCCCCGATCGAGCGGGACAACAAGATGAGCTGCTGTGGCGAGGTGCTGAGAACATGGCCACGGCACTCCAGCGTCATTGGGGAGAGGTCTTCAGGGCTCTTGGGATATTTGGAGCATGTTGGAAGCCAGCTGGAGGCATCTCGCGCTATCTTGATCCATCTTGGAGGCCATACTGGGCTTTCTGAGGCCCTATTGGAGCCTTGGGCCATGCTGGACGCCCCGACCGCTCGCGAACCCCTCCGTTCAGGTCCAGGGGGAGGGGGTAGTGGGAGGGGTAAACCCCTCCCCAATGAGGAAGAATGGGGGTGGAAGAGGAAACGCCCTAGACCACCTACGCCCGGAGGGCTGGTGGGAGTCTGCCGCGCGGCAAGGACGGCTTCAGCAAGCGCCCACACGACATCTACAACGCCGTCTTCTCTGCCCACACACACACACCCAAGCTTCCGCACGACCTGAGCGGCTGGGCTGGGCGCGCGGCGGCGCCGCGGCGCGGATAACATTCCGAATGCATTTCAGGCTTAGTTCGCCCCTCGATCTTCCTCCTCGCTCCACCACCTCGCTCCTCCTCCTCTCTCCTGCTCGATCCTCCTTCTCCTCCTCCTCCTCTACCTCCTCCTCCTCCTCCTTCTCCTCCTCCTCCTCTTCCTCGTCGATCCCCTTCCCCCGTAGGGGGGGGAAGGCACAGGAAGAGGGAGAAATCGAGGAACCGAAAACTGCGTGACCAGAACATGTCGGGGCTCCCTGCGGATGTCTTGGGTACGCGCTGGCCCACCCCCCAAGTGGCGTCTCCCGCGCCGTCCGCGCGCCAGGGAGGGGTGTCCAGCGCCGATCCAAGAAACCGGCACGGGCCTCGTAAAGTTTGCGTTTATGCGTTGAATATTCTTTTTAAATGGGAGGGAGGAGAGGGTGGAGAACGCGAGGACGAGGGGGGGAGGAAGGGGGAAGTAGGGTAGGGCGCGGGGGCGCGGAGGAAGAGATAGAAAGGCAGGGGGGCCGAGGGGGGGCAGGATGAGCTTTGTAACGGAAGGGGCGAGGTGGAGGGATGAAGGAGGAGGAGGAGGAGGAGGAGGAGGAGGAATAATGAGGCAGTGGTTGCATGGGCTGCGGCCTGGGGGCATCAAGGGCGCGTGCGCCGCGGGAGGAAAAACAACAACAGATCAGGATCAGAAGCGAGCATGGGTTTGAACCTGGTATTGCCGCTGGTGGTGGGCCCAGTCCACACGATGTGCTCCAAAGGAGGTTCGCCCCCTCAGTTCGGATCGGAGGCTGCGCGACAATCTGGATCGACTACGGATGCTGGCTTTTTCAACCATCGGGGGTGGACAGAACCCCCAACAGTGACACGTCGATTAGTGAATTGTCCGTTTTCGGTTCTCGAGAGGGCGCCGTGGCCGTTATTTTCCAGGCTTGCGCCCGCCAGGTTTGGGCCTCAGCTCGTTTTCTTTAACCACGTTTTACTAAAGGGAGGTCTGTCCATCCCCGGAACCAGGGGTATCCCCGTAACTTCACAATCTCACCTGCCCTTAGCTCCGGGCGTTGCATTTGTTCCGCACGGGGCGTTGTTGCTTGGCTTCGGGCCCCGGGGGCCATCGCAGTCCGATCTGCGTCAAAACATATGAAAAACGATGGGGTGGAGGTTTCCAGTCGCGACTTCGTGCGATGCCGCATGTGTCGTGGCGTTGGATCTCAAATGGGAAGACTTACCCCGTCTATGGTTGGCCGGGAGGGTCGTCTGGAGGGTTGGCCCGCATGCGTTTTCTATACATTGATGTTCGTGATAGGTGTAGGCATGCGCATGTATAGTACCGTTCGTGTCCTTACCGTTCTACGGCCAATACAAGCCCGATTCGTCTTCTGTCGAGTAAGAGTCTTTTGGCGCATCATCCGCACGCTCTCATAACTTTAGTCGCTTGGTTATGTTGGGTAGTTATCGTCGCCGGTGCCAGTCTTCGCTCGACACGTGTCTCTGGGTGGGCCAGGTGCAGATGGAGAGGCGGAGGAAGGAAACACAGCAAGAGGAGATTGAGCATGAGGAGGTGAAAGTGTCACACCACGATCGCACTAAATCCCAGACTCACTCCTGTCCAGAATGCATTACAACGGAATATGGTGCACTGCCTCTTCTATGCGCAGTTACGCCGATCGTTGAGAAATTATTGTCTCACGTTTGGAGCAGTGTTTCTTGAGCAGATTCCGCAGAGCGTGCGCCAAATGCGCGGCAAAGCGGATGTTCCAGGTTGTTTTAGCAGGCGGCCCAGAATTATTGGTTGCGCCATCCCGCGATGATATTCATAGCGATGTAGACCATTGACGCAGGTTGGCAGAATTTTTGGCCGAGATGACTCAAGTTGCAAAACGAAGACGTTGCGTCGGTGACCCTTGGGCGTCCCAAGGATACGACATGTACTCGATAAGACTATCTGTCATCAGCTGTGCCTCCTGACGGTGTGTCCATCCTTCGTGCGCGAGCTACAGGATGGTCGATCGATGATTTTATGACCCTGCGCCCATCATCCTCAATCCCTGCGTTCATGCGTTCTCGTCGTGGTGACATGCAGTGGCCACTGGCCATGTTTCAATTTTGCGTAAGTGGTCGGCGGATGACGTCTATGCGAGCGTTTGAGCGTTTAGACGCCAACATCGTCAAACTAGGAGAGTGGAGGAGAGGAGAGGAGAGGGGAGGAGAGGGGAGGAGAGGGGCGAAGAGGCGAGGAGAGGGGAGAACGGGGAGGAGGGGAGGAGGAGGAGGAGGCTTCAAAGAGGGAAGGTAGCGTTCATCCATCACCCTTTGACCTTCCCCTGTCAAGGAAGAGCAGCAGAAGCCGAAGCCGTCCCTGAAGGGCGTGTTCTGGAAGCTGTCTAGAGCCGACTTCCTGAGAAGCGGCCTTTGCTTTGGCCCTATGCCCCCCCATCTCTCTGGGTTCGCGCGTCGTCGTCGTCGTCGCCGTCGTCGTCGTCGTCAACATCGTCGTCGTCTTCGTCGTTTAACATCTTTGTCGTCGTCGTCGTCATCGACGTCCTTGTCGTCTCGTCGTCGGCGCCACCGCCGCCGCCGCCGCCCTTGCCGCCTCCGCGTCCCCCCCCGCCGAGGAGCAGGGGCAGGCGCGCGGAGCGGCCCGCGCACCGCCCGATGGCTGCCCCGCCCCGCGGCCCCTTGCCGCGCCCCGCTGCCTCGCCCCGCCTCCGCGCCCCGCCCTGCGCTCCGCCGCCCGCCGGCGCCTGCCCGCCGCCTCGCTGCCCCGGCGCCCCCGGCGCCGCTCTCGGCCACCGGCCCCTCCTCCTCCTCCTCCTCCTCCTCCTCCTCCTCCTCCTCCTCCTCCTCCTCCTCCTCCTCCTCCTCCTACAATTACTCAATATGAATATACTCTCCCTCTTCCCCTGATGGCGTCCGGGTGATGGCCGCGCACCCTCCGCGTATTGTTTTTTTACACAGGATGCCCGGGAAATCCCGGGAAACGACTCTCGCTGAGGCGCCGGCGTCATTTTTTCTCAAAATGCTGCTCTCGCGCCGGCGTCATTTTTTCCCAAAATGCTGCTCTCGTTGAGGCGCTGGCCTCATTTCTGCTCCCGAATCCTTCCCCTGATGGCGTCCGGGTGATGGCCGCGCACCCTCCGCGTACTGTTTTTTAACACACAGGATGCCCGGGAAATCCCGGGAAACGACTCTCGCTGAGGCGCCGGCGTCATTTTTTCCCAAAATGCTGCTCTCGTTGAGGCGCCGGCTTCATTTCTGCTCCCGAATCGTTCCGAATCGTGCTCCCGCTGCAGCGTGGGCCTCATTTTCGGATCGGTGTTTGGCCTCCGTCGTTCAGGATGGCGTTCTCGCCCCAGCGCGGGCCTTTTTCTCGCGCGCCCATCCGCCCGCCACCACCGCGCCGCACCGCCACCACCACCACCACCACCACCACCACCACCACCACCACCACCACACCACCACACCAGCACCACCACACCACCACCACCAACACCACCACCACCACCAGCCCACCACCACCACCACCACCACCACCACCACAACCACCACCAGCACCAGCCACCACCACCACCACCACCACCACCACCAGCACCACCACCACCACCACCACCACCACCACCACCACCACCACCACCACCACCACCACACACCACCACCACTACCACCACCACCACCACCACCACCACCACGACAACCACGCACACACGCACGCACGCACGCACGTGCACCACCACCCACTACGCACGCGCGCGCGGAGCCACAGGTCCGCTACGACACGCGTCCGCGGATAGAGAAAATCAGCGCCATGGTAAGGATGGGAGGGAGGGGTAGGACGTCGGATATGACGCGAGCGCACCTAGCTTGCCTCCTCCCCCTCCTCCTCCTCCTCCTCCCTCCTCCTCCTCCTCCTCTCCTCCTCCTCCTCCTCCTCCTCCTCCTCCTCCCTCCCTCCTCCTCCCTCCCTCCTCCTCCTCTCTTCTCCCCTGGCAAGGTCCCTGCAAGTAGGGGAACAACAAGTGTCATAAACATAAAAACTCGGAGGTCCGCGCGGCCTTCTCGGACCCGCGCCGAAGCCCCCTGGCGGCGCCTCTGGCGCCGCCCCTGGCGCGCTCCGCGCGCCAGGGAGGGGGGTCCAGCGCCGATCCGAGAAATCCGCGCGGACCTCCGAGTTGTTATGTTAATGTATGTCACTTGTTGTTCCCCTACTGCATCTTCTCGCCGGCTGGGTGCGCGCGCTGTTCTCCGCGGGTGCGCTGGACGCCACGGCGAGCCGCCTGGCCGCGACGGCCGACATGCGGTTGCGTGTGTGTGTCTGTGTTTGTGTGTTGTGTTTGTGCGTCTGTGCGTCTGGGCGTCTGTGCGTCTGTGTGTGCGGGTGTCGGGTGTGCGTTTGCGTGTGTGCGGGTGTGAGGGTGTGCGTGTTGTGTGTGTGTGTGGATGTGGGTGTGGGTGTGGGAATGGGTGTGCGGGTGTGTGGGTGTGTGGGTGTGTGGGTGTGTAGGTGTGTAGGTGTTTGGGTGTTTTGGTATGTCGGTGTGTGGGTGTGTGCGTGTGTGCGTGTGTGCGTGTGTGGGTGTGTGGGTGTGTGGGTGCGTGGATGCGTGGGTGTGCGGGGGTGTGGGTGTGTGGGTGTGTGGGGTTGTGGGGTGTGGGGGTGTGGGGGTGTGGGTATGTGGGGGCGTGGAGATGTGGGTGCGTGGGCGTGTGGGCGTGTGAGTGTGTGAGGGTGTGGGCGTGTGGGCGTGTGCGCGTGTGGGCGTGTGGGCGTGTGGGTGTGTGGGTGTGTGGTCGCGTGGGCGCGTGGGCGTGTGGGCGCGTGGCGCATGAGCGCATGGGCGCGTGGGCGCGTTGGCGCGTTGGCGCGTGGGCGCGTGGGCGCGTGGGCGCGTGGGCGCGTGGACGTGTGCGCGTGCGTGTGCGTGTGCGTGCGCGTGTGTGTGTGCGTGTGTGCGCGTGTGTGTGAGTGTGTCTGTGTGTGTGCGCGTGTGTGTGTGTGTGTGCGTCCGCGTGTGCGTTTGCGTTTGTGTGTGTGCCTGCGCGCGTGCGTGTGTATGTATGTGTATGTGTGAGTGTGTGTGTGTGTGCGTGCGCGTGTGCGTGTGCGTGTGCGTGCGCGTGTGCGTGTGCGTGTGCGTGTGCGTGTGTTGTTTGTGCTTGTGTGTGCATGTGCGTATGCTTGTGCGTGTGCGTTCGCGTGTGTTGTGTGTTGTTGTTGATGTTGTTGTTGTGGGTGTTGTTGTTGCTAGCGACGCTTGCTGGCGCCGGTGTACACGGCGTAATCGAACCCGGTTACTCCGTGTATCCAATTTACAGGTTCCATTAGGAATCCAAGTAGAATCTGCCTCGGATACATGGAGCAATCGAGTGCGATTGCTCCGTGCATCCAGTATGCAGGTTTGAATAAGAATCCAACTAGAATCTGCCTCGGGTACACGGAGTAATCGAGTTCGATTACGCCGTGTATCCGATACACGGAGCAATCGAGTGCGAATACTCCGTGTATCCAATATACACGTTCCAGTAGGAATCCATGCAGAATCTGCCTCGGATACACGGAGTAATCGAGTGCGATATATTTCGTGTAACCGATATGCAGGCTCCAATGGGAATCCAATCAGAATCTGCCTCGGGTGCACGGAGTATTCGAGTTTGATTACTCCGTGTATCTAATTTGCATGTGCAAGTAGGAATCCAGCTAAAATCTGCTTCGGGTACACGGAGTAATCGAGTTCGATTTTTCCGAGTATCCGAAACACGGAGTAACCGAGTGCGATTACTCCGTGTATCCAATATACAGGTTCCAATCGGAATCCAATCAGAATCTGCCTCGGATACACAGAGTAATCGAGTTCGATTGCTCCGTGCATCCGATAACCAGAGTAATCGAGTGCGATTACTTTGTGTTACCAATATGCAGGTTCCAATCGGGATCCAATTAGAATCTGCCTCGGGTACACGGACTATCGGGTGCGATTATTCCGTGTATCCAGCAGTCTGGAAACAATAAGAATCAAATTAGAATCTGCCTCGGATACACAGGGTAATCGAGTGTGTTTACTCCGTGTATCCAATATCTGGCTCCGATACACGGAGTAATTGAGTGCGATTGCCCCGTGTATCCAATATGCAGGGTCCAATCGGAATCCAATTAGAATCTGCCTCAGATACACGGAGTAATCGAGTTCGATTATTTCGTGTCTCCAATATGCAGGTTTCAGTGGGAATCCAATTCGAATCTGCCTCGAGTACAAGGAGTAATCGAGTGCGGGTATTCCGTGTATTCAGCACGCAGGTTTCAATAGGAATCCAATTTTGAACCTGCCTCAGACACACGGAGTAATCGAGTTCGATTATTCCGTGTATCCAATATGCAGGTTCCAATGGGGATCCAATTAGAATTTGCTTCGGATACACGGGCTAATCGAGTGCGGCTACTCCGTGTATCCAGTCTGCAGGTCCCAATAGGAGTCCGGCTATAATCTGCTGCGGATACACGGAGTAATCGAGTTCGACTATTCTGTGTATCCGATCGGCAGGTTCCAACAGGAATCCAATCATACTTTGTCCCGGATACACGGAGTATTCGGCTTCGATCACGCCGTGAATCCGATACACGGAGTAATCGAGTGCGATTACTTTGTATTTCCACTATGCAGATTCCAATCGGGATCCAATTAGAATTTGCCTCGGGTACACGGAGTAACCGAGTGCGATTTATCCGTGTATCCAATATGCAGGTTCCAATAGGAATCAAATTAGAATCCGCCTCGAGTACAAGGAGTAATCGAGTACGATTACTCCGAGTATTTGTTGTGTTTATGCTGTTGTGTGTCGTTGTGTGTTGTGTGTATGCGTGCGTTCTTGCGTGTGTGTGTGTGTGTGTGTGTGCGTGCGTGCGTGCGCGTGTGTGTGTTTATTTGTTTATGTTCGCGTGTGTGACACTTTCGGTTTGTGTGTGTGTTTTTGTGTGCCTGCGTATGTGGAAGTGTGTGTGTGTGTGTGTACGGGTGTGTGTGGCTTGCGTGTGTGAACGTGATTGCGGGTGTGCGGGGGCGCATGTGTGCGCGTGCGTGCGTGCGTGCGTGTGTGTGTGTGTGTGTGTGTGCATGTGCGTGTGCGTGTGCGTGTGCGTGCGTGGTGTGAATGTGTTGTGTATGAACTGTGACCTCTGTGAATTGTGTGTGCGCCTTGCTTTGCCTTCATTGCCCTTGCCCCGCGGTCCCTTGCCATTACAATTCCAGACGCTTCGCGTGACCTTTCCGTCCCAATTCCAAACGCTTCGACACAACCCGCTGGCAACACGACCCCTGGGAACACCCAGCCGCCTCGGATCCCAACAGACTCTGCGATGGTCGTTCACCTGCACCGGGAAGATTGCGAAACGGGTCGCGAGCCACAGGGGAAGGGGCAGGGAGAAGAC